AGCTTTCCAGACCTCCAGCATCAGAGACCAGGGGTCCCCAGCCTCCCTTGACACCTGCAGAACAGGCAGACCTTCCCCTGGCTGCTCCCAGCCACGGCGCTGTGTGAAGTGGTCACCCTCAGCTCCCAGATGCGCCTTTCTCTCATGGGCACTGCCCAAAGGTCACTGGCATAGAGAAAACAAAGCCAAGGACCTTCCCTCTCTTCCCCAATGTTGGGGCCTGCTGGGATCTAGTAGCAAACTGCATCTGGCCCATCTCTGCTCACCAGACCGCCTTGCTGGCTTCCACCTCCCACACACTTGATGGGTGCCAGACAGAGAGTGCCTGGGCTCCTCCCTCCCTCAGGCCACCTGTGTGTGGCCGCACTGAGACTCATCCCACCAGCAGATGGGTGCCAGTGGGAGAGGAGGCACACAGGTGTCACCGCCCACATGGCAGCTCTGGTCCCGCCCCTGAAGGCCACCTCCCCGGGCCTCCACTGCCAGCAATAACAGCAAAACCTTGCAGAAACCCACTGGTCAAAGAAGTGTTGACTTGCGACTTCTGATTCCACCTACGTCAAGTTTGCCCTTCTGCTGAGAGGTATCAGAATCTTACTCGAGTAAAAGGGAACAAGGACCCAGATTCACACAGGACCCTGGTTGGGCTGTGGCATTTTCTTTTTCTGAGCCTGCAAAATACAGCACGCTTTCAAGGAGGTGGGAAGAATATTCTCATAATTTCCTAGAAGATGAATGCCAAAGTTAAACCTAAATCAAGGTGAATGTCCTTTGTATAAAGAATAGCCCCATTAAGAGTTGGGAGGAAAACGCTGATCCCAGGAAGAATACCAGAACAAGTGCTAATGGATAAAATACAGAAATAATGCTTTAATAATGCATGTGATCATGTTTTTATTAACAAAGAAAGTCTTGTTCTGAAACAAATACATCCTTGAGAGGAGTCTAAAATTAATCCCCGATAGGCAGAAATCCACACTATTATATATTCTAATTATAATTACAACCTGTGAACATTCTAAATTATTAGTCACTTTATTAAGAACCAGAAAAGGGACTTCCTGCTGCATAATGAGAACTACTCACGAGCTCTGAGAATGAGAAAAGAGACAATTCTGCACAGAGCTGGAACATGGTGGATGTAATTTATTTAATAAAAATGCTTAGTTTCTTCTTTTTTGTTTAGGAACTGGTACGCCCTTAGGGGTTCAGATAGCACCAAGCTTCAGAACTGCTATTTCTAGGGCAAGATACAAATGTGTATCACAGAAAAATCACAATTTATCATTGTAATGGTTACATCCCTCTACAGAAACCACTAGAGACTACTTAACATTTTTATTTCAAACATGGTTTTCCCTAGTCTTCAGGTGACAAACGGATACAGATGCCAGAAGACTTTTTTTCCATTTGTTCCTAATAAAAATGGCTAGATTCTGAGTTCATTTTCATCTGGGGGTGACATGAAGGTCTGTGCTTTACCAGACGGATCCTTCCCTCCCCTCCTATGGGTTCTTCCTTCGAAATCTCTGAAGGCAACATCTGGACCCAGTCATCGAAGACAGATGGACTCCTTCTACGTCTGCTCCCATCCCCTGGAGACCCCTGCCCGAGGGGTAGCGTCCTATCTGAATGCAGTGACACACTGACAAAATTCTTCCTGCCTAGTACACGCGCAGGACATTCTTATCTTTAGGGCCCGTCCTATATCTGAACAGACCTCCTCATTCTACAGAAGTTTCCCAAAAAAAGGATAGATATTTTAAGAAAGGAAAAAACTATATTGAAATTGTAATACTTCATATATACCAATAACAAAAGATGAATACAAGTCACATTTGACTTCTGCAATTCTAAGAGGTGTTGAGAACATCATACTACCCATTACTATCATAATTGAATTCAACTTCAAAAGTAATACATTGATAACATCTCTTAAAATATGTCAATCGTTTTTGACACCCCTGGTATATGGATTTCTCTATTTCAAAACATGCTTGGGCTTTCTAAATTCTGTCATTGAACTAATTGTTATTATTTTTCTTCTGTTACTTGATAAGTCCAAATCCTCTTTACCTGGCATTGAACCTGAAGCCAATTTCCTGAACTAAATCATTTTTGAAAAGTCTGGGGATCAACCCAGACTTCTTTTGTCCTGTGGAAGCACTGAATTCCTGATGTTTCCTCCTGATGTTAAAGCCTCATGCATTCAGACTTAACCTGCTTTTTCATCTTCTTTTTCTTCCTTTCAAGGAACAAGGGTCAAAATATTCTCCTTTGGTTGTAGTAACTAAAGTTTCATGAAGTGGAAATTAAGAGTAATAACAATTTTTTACTGAAACATAACAATAGGTCAGAGGTTAAGGTCAGAGCTTTGGAGTATTGTTTCACTTAATCCTTCTAACAGCCCCCTGATATAAATGCCATAATATTTATATTTTATACATGAGGAAGAAACTGAAGCTCAGAGAGGTTGAGTAAATCACTCACAGTCACACAGCTGGTAGAGGTAAAGCTGGGATCTGAACCCAGATAACCTGACGCCAGAGCCCATGTTCTGAATCCTCACACTCAGCTCCATCCTCAGGTGCTCAACTAACAGGCTGAGCACCTGGAGGCTGAATTGTCACATTTCTTTGATCCACTGCCCCCTTTCCAACTTAATTACATCTCTGAAAGTTTAGAAGCTTTTCACCTAGAGTCCATGTCATCCTCCCTCATGTCCCAGGATGGACGATGATATCTGAGGTCAGTATACAGAGGCTCAGTGGAAGGAGCCCCAGCCACTGTACCCCTGAACACAAAGTTACACAAAGCCAGCACAAGTTACACACAATGGATGGGAAGGCTTGAGATAGACTCGCCTTCAGTAAAGGTGTCTTGAGTGCTCTTTCACCTCTCAGTTAAGTTTCTGCCTGATCAAGAAATCTGAAAAAAATGATCAACCAACAAATAGGAGTAGTTTACAAATTTTCTTACAGTGGTGGGGTTGCTACAAAGTGCACCAAAATAGTCCAGGGAAGTAGATACCCCATGGACTCCAGGATCTAGAGCAGGTCACAGTGGACATGCAGATCTCCAGCCAGGCCCGAGGGCACAAGCTGTCCAGACGGTGCAACCTGCTACAACTTCCTAATTATAATTGAATTCTATATGGATATTTGCCCATAGAAGAGGCAGGGCATGTAAGGATAATTCAGCAGTTGGATTTTAATTTGGGATTAATAACCTGGCATTCAGATTTATATATCAGTCACTTTTGAGTTTGATTAAGATGAGTCAATCTCCCTGAGGCTGATATACTAGGGACATGCTAGAAATTAAAATTTCTGGGTCTGCAAATGAGGGAAACCAATCTTGCAGCTAAGAACCCAAAGGGAGAGACCTTCTACCCTGTTTCTGATGCTCCTGGCCCTTCTCCTTGCTGCTCTCCACATCCCAGGAAGCAGAAGGTAGAACTCAATCAGAATCAGGAAGGCCAAGGTGGCCACAGTAACTCCAGGGCTTTGATCATTGTGTGCAAGGTTGGTCTCTGGAGTGGTGTTCCTGAGGGGCTCCTGCTTCCTGTCCCCAGAAGGAACCCATGTTCTCAGCACATTCTCATTCTAGCCCTTATTCTTCAACCCTATGTCAGGAAGCTCACCCAAGGGTGCGAGTTCCCAAGAGCTGGTTCTTAGAGGCAGGAAAGGGGCTGAGCTCAGTGTGGGCCCCTCCAATACAGCTCTCATTTGAGCTCTCAGGGACAGTCCTGGGGCATTCCTGCAGCTCTTAATCATGTGCCATTTGGGAGGTTTTGGTTGTTTTTTTTTTTTTTTGAAGTTTTTGGCCAGGACCCGGGTTTGAACCCATCACCTCTGGTATATGGGGCCGGTGCCCTACTCCTTTGAGCCACAGGCACTGCCCGAGTTGTTGTTGTTGTTGTTGTTGTTTTTAAGAACTGCCTGAGGGAGGGTGTAGCCAGACTGGGTGCTGGTGAGATGCAGGCATTCCTAGGTTACTGGCCATAATACCTACCCGGGGTCTTAAAAGACTCCCCCGCCTCCACGAGACAGTGCCTGAGATGCAAGCTACAGGGGTGAGCAAAGGAGGTCCTCTTGGGGCCAGCAGTGACACTATGTGATAGAAACCCCACACAGCAAATCAGCTCAGCAGGTGCCTCGCCTCCTCTTTTACTTCTTTTCTCCCATATAGAAAGGGTGCAATAATAAAAAAGAAATTATTCTTGAGATTAAATAATAATTTCCATGATAATCTGTCATGGATCTTACTCTGTTTTCAGTATTTCACTTTTTTCTTGGTCTATTGAGACCAAAACGAATACTCCGGTTCTCATCATTGACATTTCGGGCTGGGTAATTCTTTGCAGGAGGGAGACTGGCCTGTGCACTCCACGGTATTCAGCAGCATCCTTGGCTTCTACCCCCTATGCACCAATGTCCCGCTCAGCGTGACAGCCAAAAATGTCTCCAAACATTGCCAAATATCCCCTAGAGGGCAAAACTGCCCCAGTTGAGAGCCACTGCTTAAAAGGCTGACCCAGTTTTTTGCTAACTTGAGGATTAGGTTTAAGTGGTTCTGGTACTTAAAATTCCTCAGGCAGTGGCCCTATTAAAACACCCTCACTTTATCTGTGTACACACCCTCCCGTGTGTTTATTTAGGAATGACAGTCATTGTTGGGCAGAGGGCCACTTGTGAGAGGCCAGAGTTTTGCCAGTTGGCTCCTGCCTTGTGCCATTTGCGAATGTCAGGTTGTATTAAGTGAGCTGTCCCTAATGGGTGTCATGCTGGGCTTCGAGGTGTCATTTGGTCAGCGTTCCCAGTAAGCTGAGAGTTGATTTACTAAGAGCTTTAAGTCTCTGTACGTTATTTGCGGTCCTGCATTCAACATGAGGCCTCAGACTGGTGTAGTGACTGTTCTTTCTCTGCAGAGCTGTGCTTCCACATGACCTGCAGACCCCCGAGTCACTCCATTACAAAAATTCAATAAGAGCCACTGACCTCGGTGAGTGTGTGCCAGAGACAGGGAAGCCACATGGTGCAGACACGAGTTCCAGGCGTGGAAAAAGTCCTCCTTCTTAGTCATCACCTGTCAAATTGACAGAAAAAAAAATACCTGTTGGTGACATTCTGAAAGAACTGAATTCAGTAGTAAGACGGATGACAAATATCTAGATGTGTGATATTATAGGACAACTGAGCATGGGCATGAGGCCTCCTGCAGGCTGGCCTCTGCGAGCTGCAAAAGCTACTTGTTCCATGAATAAATGTCATACATGTACCGTGAGCCCAGTCTCCAAGTTTATACTAACTCCTCACACACATCAATATGGGACTACTCGCTGCCAATTCTTGAGCGGGAGCAGACGTTCGGGAAACAAGGTGAAGGGGAGGGCACGTGCACAGAGGCCGTTCTAACTGGGTCACTTGCTGCCCAAAGGATGCAAAACAGCAGAAGTAGCTACTCGGAGCTAACCCTCAACATCACCAGCCCGCCTCCCGTCCTTCCGGCCTTTCATTGTAATCAGGTGCTTCCATTTGTTTTCAAAGTGTTTCTGGAATATCTGTTCCTTCCCAAGAACTGGCACTCGGTAGTTGCCACGTTTGATGTACATGAGGAATTGACATAAACATAGAAACAGGAGCCACAGGAAGGTCACACCATTTTTTCATGGAATGAATAGCTTTTGTGGGTCTATTCTGTACAACACGGCCTATCAGTCACTGTAATCAAGGGAGTCTCTTTTTTTCTTTGTTTTGTGTTTTTTAGTCAGAGGGAAATGAGGAAACAGAACTGGAGTGAAATCGGAATGAAGAAAATGCACAGAGAAGACAGAGACGCTGAATCACAAAATCAGTAGTTACCGAGGTTTAGGAGGCGCTAGAGGCAGATCCTTATCTGACCCCAGAAGAGTTAAATTTGGCCCCTCTGATTTTTCTTTATTCCTTCTTGCCTTTCTTTGTTTCAAAAACCTAAGGGTTTCATATTTAGGTAGACGTTTAGTAATTTTGTGCGTATGCTCAAGGAAATAACACTCAAATAGAAAGTTACACTCAGTGTATCTGCTTCCCATTTGTTTTAAACTCACACCCTGGTGAGCCCTCTGAGTTGGAAAGTAAACTGCTTCCCCTGTAGCTCTGCAGTTTCTGCAGGGCCTGGAAAACCTGCTGTGTAAAATCCCTCCCGTAACAGAGTGCTTTGTGCTCCAGTGGAAAAAAGAGCAGCTACAGAAAGCCTTTGCGCATGTATAATTCAGCATGATCACCTGGGGCGGTGGGCATAGTTTGGAGGACAATGTCATGTGTGCCTTGAGTTCCACACCTAACCGGGGCATCTCACGACAGTCTAGAAAGAGGATAATGTCTGCCTCACTCCCTGCATCAATGTCCCTCTGTCTCAGTGTCACAATTACAACTGAAAAGGCACAGTGATGGCATGCAACTCTCAGGGACCCTACAGAATATCTTTGGCAGGGGGAGGACAGGAGCTGGCCAAACAGTCCTTGAAGTGCTGGAAGGAGGAGCTAGAAGTGTCTCTATCTATCACACTGTAAAGGATGACACCGGCAATGCTGGTGCACAGACTCTCCCAATCCTGCACTGACTGCTCCCCACCGGGTTGGGGAGGCAGGAAAGAATAAACACTGCAGATATGGGCAAATAAAATTGAGGGTACTTTTTAATTTTTTAAAAAACCTCAATGTGTAGAGTAAAAGTTTTCACTGGTCTGATCAAGAGGAAACTAGAGACATAATTGACTGCACAAGGTAGAACCCTTTCCGAAAAAGAGACTTCAGTTGGGAAAATCCTGCAGTGAGCCCATTGCGAAGTGGCTTGTGACTGCACCCCTCAAAAAGTAAGAGAGAAAAAGAAAAAACAAGTTCAAGAGAAGGGGAAAGGCCCCGTGAAGGCCTGCCAGCAGCTCCTGAGTGCTTTTCCTTATATGTCAGCATCATGGTAGTGCTATAGGCTCAGTCATCCCTGCTGGCAGTGGGCGCCCATCCCAGGCAGGAAGGAGCACACCCAGGCCTCGGAGCATATTGATGGAAAGGCAGCTTTCCTACAACAGATGCCCAGGAAAGCATCTCAGATGCCTCTGCCCCCTTGAATTATAATTTATTGGCAGGACATGATAGGCTAAAGCTAGCTGGGGGTTTCCCAGTGGTCCACACACCCACTTAGCCTGACCCAGCAGCAGGGTTGGGACCACAGTTCATCCCACTATGCAATGCACAAGATTTTAAAATGCATTTACTGCACAAACAACAAGGTAAAACAACAGAAACCCTCCCCCCTTAATATGAGGTTTCAGAACACAAGGTTTTAAAAATGAAATACTTGTGCTTTACTTTGGGCAATGAATCTGCTACCAAAAATCTGCCGTAAACATAGCCTTATGCAAACTAAGTCCTTAAAACACACCAGACAACAGGCAAGGCTTTCAGCACTTAATTGTATTTGCTCATTTAGTCTTCACAAGCCCTGGAGGTAGGTTTTGTTGGTATCTTCATTGTGTAGGTGGAAAACTATGATACAGGAAGGCTCAGTAACTTGCCCAAGGTTGCAGAGCTGGGTTCAGACCAGGTGCCCAGGCTTTGGTACACTAACCGTGGGCTACACTGCCTCCCAATGGACTGTGGGGGAGTTAGTTCCCTGGCCAAATCTGCCCCTCCCAACATACTGCTTATAAAGATGTATTATCACACATCGCATGGTCACATTTAGTGTAAAGAACATTGAAAGCCTCTAATGAAACTATATGCCTATTTCTTTCCTTTTTTCACTAGTTTTTATATATGCCTATTTCTTAATAAATCATCATACAGCTAAGATACAGACCTGGACACATTTAAAGAAAAGAAAAAACCTTTCCCTTTCCCATGATGGATCCCTACATCCATTTCTCTCCTTCAATTCTAGAAAAGATGTGGGTAACAACATAGCCAGTTAAAACTATTTACTTCTGTACATAGGATCAACAGAAAAGCCTCAACGAACATCATACTTAATGGTAAAAAGCTGAGTGCTTTCCCCCAAGTCCAAAAAGTGAATAAGAATGTCCACATCACCACTCCTCTTCAACACTGAATTGCAGGGTCTAGCCAGGGCAATAAGGCAAGAAAAAGAAATTAAAGGCATAGAGATTAGAAAGGAGTAAGTAAAACGGACTTCATTCAAAAAGACATGATTGTTGATATAGAAAAATCCTAAGAAATCTATAACAAAGTTACTAGAACTAATAAGTGAATTAAACTTAAGTCAAAAGGTACAAGACTGATATGTAAAAATCATTTGTGTTTCTATTAACATATTCTAGCAATGACCTAGAACTCAGAATTAAAATGCCATTTACCATAGCATCAAAAAATTTGAAATACCTTGGGGATACTTTCATAAACTACATGCAGTAATGATACATGAACACTAAAAAATAAAGGGAGAGATACGCTGCGCCTACAGGTCAGAAAACTCAATATTGCTAAGATGTCACTTTTGACCTACAGATTTAGCACAATGCCCATCAAAATGAAAGCCAGCAGACTTTCTTTTTTGCACATGTGGCAGACATTTGCAAGCTGATTGTAAAATTGGCGTGGAACTACAGAGGACCTAGAATAGTTAAAAAAAAAAAAAATTGAAGAAAAATAAGTTGGAGGATTCACACTACCTGATTTTAAGATTTACTATAAAGCTATAGTAAAGGCAACAGTATGGCATTAGGGTAAGAAGAGAAATACAGATGAATGAAACAAAGTAGACAGTCCAGAAACAGAACCAGTCAACTGATTTCCTACAAAGGTATCAAGGTAATTGAATGGGGGAAGATTGATCTTTTCAACAAACAAAAGGCACTAGAACAAAAAAATTAACCTTAACCATCACTTCATGACATGCACAAAAATTGACTCAAAGTGAATCACAGACTTAAACACAAAAGCGAAATCTACAAACTTCTAGAAAAAAACATAGGGGGAAAAAAATCTTAGTGACCTTAGATTAGGGGAAGATTTTATAAAACCCCCAAATCTTGAATTTTATCAAAATTTAAAATCGGTTCTTTAAATACACTGTTAAGAAAATGAAAATGCAGTTAATAGGTTAGGAAAAGATATTTGCAAACCATATATATAATAAAGGACTTCTAAACAGAATCTACAAAGATATCTTACAACCTGCAGAGTAGGAAAACAGAGCCCACAGTTTAAAAAATGAACAAAAAAATTTGAACATATACTTTACCAAAGAAGATAAATGGCAAATAAATGCATGAAAAAGATGGAGACTTTACCTCCTTCATGTTTACATGGATGGAGCTGGAAAATGTTCTTCTTAGCAAAGTATCTCAAGAATGGAAGAAAAAGTATCCAATGTACTCAGCCCTACTATGAAACTTATTTATAGCTTTCATAGGAAAACTATAACCCAATTTTATCCCAAGAATATGAGGAGAGGGGAGAGGGAGGGAAGGGGAGAGGGGAGGGTGGGTGGAGGGAGGGTGACTGGTGGGATCACGCCTATGGTTCATCCTATAAGGGTACATGTGAATCTCTCTAAATGTAGAATATAAATGTCTTAACACAATAACTAAGAAAAAGACATGAAGGCTTTGTTAACTAGTTGGATGAAAGTATTTCAAATTGCATATAGAAATAGTACATTGTACCCCATGATAGTATTACTGTACACTGCTATGATTTAATAAAAAAAAAAAAAAGATTCGAGAAATGCAAATTAAGACCACAGTGAGATACCACCAAACACCCACTAGAATAGCTAACATGAGTAAGACTGGCAAGACCATGTATTGGTGGGGATGTGGACAACTAGAAATCATGGCTGGTGGGAATGCAAAAGGTTACAGCTACTCTGGAACAGTTTGGCAATTTATTACAAAATTAAAACATGTACCTACAGCAGAACTCAGCCATTCCTCTCCTAGGAATTTACACAAAATAAAAAAAAACATACATCCACATAAAGACTTATATGAAAATGTTCACAGAAGCTTTATTATTGATAGTCCAAATGGAAATCAGTCCACATTCTATTACCCAGTTAACAGGTGAATACATCGTATATATCCATACA